ATGTGCGCATATCAGTGTATATCATTTGCATCTTGTATCTTCAATTGAATTTGCCTTGAGGGAAAAATGGGTGTCTGTGGGAGAGATTACCTGTGCTCACTGTGAACATCAGAAGGGCTTCTGTGATCCTTCAGGAAGGAGATCCCTTAGTAAGGAGTCTGCATAGATGAGGTAAGGACTGGAGTAGAATGACTGAAGATGGATTGCAGGGTTAAAGGAATAGAGGAAGGGGGAAAGGGGCCTGGAGTGCTGCTGCATGTGGGAGGATCAAGAGGACATACAGATGTCTTGAGTCTTCACTGCACTTGAGCTGTGCTGATGTCCAGGGGACAGTGGTAGAAACAGTTCATGTTGGTTTTAGGTTGGTATGAGAATGAGACAGGAAAGATAGAGGAACCGAGGGAGACTCTTCACTCCTGAAGTTAATTTGGGTGTCAAACATGACCATCAAAGATAGTGGCACAGAAGTTTAGAAAGAGTTCTGCAAGTCCTAGGTGACTCACTGAGGAAGCTGACTTCCCTCTTTGCCTGGGCTTGTCGTTTGTAACTGATAATTTCCTTATTCTTCTGACTTCTTCATTCCTGTCACAGGAAGGCCCTCCTACTCCCTCCTTTTCTTCCAAACCTCCTCACTGGGATTTTTCCTCTGTTCCTTTGTCTCTGTACACAGTTCCTGATATGACAGCTCTCAATTCCATCAGCAATAATGCCCAGGAGAGCATATTTTCTGGCTGCTGTGTAATGTGCAGGAATATCATTTACAGACTTTCAAACTGAAGCTGGTAGTAATATCCCTCTGTCCTTCTTTGGGGCACAATAAAGGCAATGACTTCTCTTTCAGGTTAGTGTGAGAATCAACTGATTCTGTAACATGCAGGAGTTCATTTATGGATACTTATTTCTGACAATATGAATTGGGGTGAGAGAGTGCATTGGTTAATTATATGTAAAGTTAAATTTAATTATAAAATAAAAAATACAATAAAAATTTTGTCATCTTGAAGTAGACTTAAAATCACTTGGGAAATAGGGGTCCTCAAGTGAGGAAGTACTTTGATGGGATAAGACTTTTGTCATGACGGTAGGGTATTTTCTTGATTAATTATTCTAAGATACATCAGAATCTAATGCTACACCTCTAAGAGGATACATGGGGCAAAGTTTGGAACTCCTGACACAGCACTTCCATTCCCTGTTCCCAGCATGTAGTTTGCTGACTTAGGTATAGGAGGAGGAGGGTCTGTATTTTCACAGACACTGGGCATCTTTGCAGGATCTATCCAGCCCTTTCTCTTCTGGTTCACTTTGGTGTTGCTCATTCCTCCTCCCACAGCTTCATGCAGAACTGTCTGAAGTGTAACTAAGTATTGATAATGGTTGAAGTTAGGACAACCATTTGTCCCCCAAGGCAGGGGCAATAGTTCTGCTCATGCTTCTATCAGCAATGTCTTCCTTTCATCATGTTTTATGAATTCCTTAGGGTGTATTGGTCTATTTAAATAGTTTATCTGGTCTTGATTTAACTTTGTTACATTGTACCTATCCAGAAAATTGTCCATTTCTTTCAGATTTTCCAATTTTGTAGAGTACAGGTTTTTGAAGTATGACCTGATGATTATCTGGATTTCTGAATTATCTGTTGTTATGTCTCCCTTTTCATGTCTGATTTTTGTGATTTGTATCAACAGTCATTAAAAGTCTACCAATCAAAAATGTCCAGGACCAGATGGTTTCAGTACAGAATTCTACCAGAATTTCAAAGAAGAGCTAATTCCAATACTCTTCAAATTGTTCCACACAATAGAAACAGAAGGGACATTACCAAATTCTTTTTATGAGGCAACAGTTACCCTGATACACATATCACACAACAATGCAATGCAGAAGAGAATTACAGACCAATCTCTCTCATGAACACTGATGCAAAAATACTCAATAAGATATTGGCAAACTGAATCAAAGAACACATCAAAAATTATCCACCATGATCAAGTAGGCTTCATCCAAGGGAAGCAAGGATGGTTCAACATATGAAATTCTGTCAATATAAAACACCACATAAACAAATTGAAAGAAAGAAAACATGATCATCTCATTAGATGCTGAAAAATCCTTTGACAAAAAATCCAAGACCCCTTAATGATAAAAGTTCTAGAGAGATCAGGAACACAAGGAACATACCTAAACATAATAAAGGCAATTTACAGCAAGTTGACAGCCAACATCAAAATAAATGGAGAGAAACTCAAAGGGATTCCATTAAAATCAGGAGCAAGCCAAGGTTGCCTACTTTGCCCATATTTATTCAGTATAGTACTTGAAGTTCTAGCTAGAGCAATAAGACAACAAAAAGAGATCAAAGTGATAGAAATTGGAAAGTACGAATTCAAACCTTCACTATTTGCAGATGATATGATAGTATACATTAGTGACCCCCAAAATTCTACCAGGGAACTCCTACAGCTGATAAACTCCTTCAGTAAGGTAGCAGGAGACAATATTAACTGAAAAAAATCAGTAGCCCTCCTATATACAAACAAAAAAGGGGCTGATAAAGAAATCAGACAAATACTGCCATTTACAATAGCCACAAATAATATAAAATACCTTGAAGTAACTCTAAGCAAGTAAGTGAAGGACCTGTAGGACAAGAACTTTAAGTCACCGAAGAAAGAAATTGAAGAAGATATCGGAAAATGGAAAGATCTCCCCTGTTCATAGATAGGCAGGATTAACCTAGTAAAAATGGCAATCTTACCAAAATCAATCTACAGATTCAATGCAATCCCCATCAAAATCCAACACAAATCTTCACAGACCTGCAGAGAACAATACTCAACTTCATATGGAAAAGCAAAAATTCCAGGATAGCTAAAAATTTTTTCTACAACATAACAACCTCAGGAGGCATCACGATCCTTGACTTCAAGCTCTACTCTAGAGCTACAATAATAAAACAGCTTGGTACTGGCATAAAAACCCACATGTGGACCAATGGAATGGAATTGAAGACTCTGACATTAATATGCACACCTATGAACATATAATTTTTTTTTACAAAGATACCAAACCTGTACAATGGAAAAAAGAAAGCATCTTTGACAAATGGTGCTGGCATAACTGGATGTCAACATGTAGAAGATTGCAAATAGATCCACATCTGTTCCCATGCACAGAACTTAAGTCCAAGTGGATCAAAGACCTCAACATGAAATCTTGTGAGCTAGTGTTGTGTACAGAGTGGAAAGGACTTAGCACATATAGGCTGGGTGGTATCATGTGTCATCCTAGCTCCTTTTAGCCCTTTCATTGACCTCC